TCTCCACCCTGGAAGCAGAGCCCTACTTTAATGAAGAGTTAAAAGTCAAGTAAGAGGCTGGGAAAATGAGCGAACAAAGGGAAAAACTCTGACTATAGAAAGTTACTATTGTAACAGGGAAGATCAAAACACACACTCAGAAGAAGATAACAAAGTCAAAGCTCCTATATCTGAAACCTCCAAGAAAAATATGAATTAGTCTTAGGTCTTGGAAAAGCTCAAAAAGGATTTTTAAAATAAAGTAAGAGAAGTACAGGGAAAATGGGGAAGAGAAATGAGAGTGATGCAAGAAAATCACAAAAAACAAGTCAACAGCTTGGTAAAGGACACATCAAAAATATTGAAGAAAATAACACCTTAAAAACAGACTAGGCCAAATGGTTAAAGAGGTTCAAAAAGCCAATGAAGAGGAGAATACCTTAAGAAGCAGAATTGGCCAAATGGAAAAAGAGGCACAACAATTCATTGAATAAAAAATTCCTTAAAAAGTAGAATTAGTCACATGGAAAAGGAAGTACAAAAGCTCACTGAAGAAAATAATTCCTTAAAAATTAGAAGTGAGCAAATGGAAGCTAATGACTTTATGAGAAATCAAGAAACAATAAAACAAAACAATAATGTAAAAATAGAAGACAACATAAAATATCTCACTGGAAAAACAACTGACCTAGATAATAGATTGAGGAGAGATAATTTAAAAATTACCAGAGGACTTGAAAGCCGTGATCAAAAAAGAGCCTAGACATCATCTTTCAAGAAATTATTGAGAGGATTCTGGGAAGATGTGGAGTAGTTCAGAAAATTCCAAGCTGTCTATGTTAAAGGATTGGAGAGTTTAGAATTATATTCTGGAGGGCAAAGGAGCTAGAATTATAACCAAGAATCACTGACCCAGCAAAACTGAGTATAATTTTTCAGGGGGAAAATGGGCATTCAATGAGATAGAGGACTTAAGCATTCTTGATGAGAAGACTAGAACTGAATAAAAAATTTGACTGTCAAATATAAGACTCAAGAGAAATATAAAATGGTAAACAGGAAAAGGAAATTATAAAGTACTTAATAAGTACTTAAACTGTTTACATTCCTACATGGGAAGATGAGATTTGTTATTCATAAGACCTTTCTCATTATTAGGGTATAGGATATAGGTGTGAGTTGATTATGAAGGGATGATATCTAAAAAATAAAATTAAGGGGTAAAAGGAATGTATTGGCAGAAAGAGAAAGGGAGAGGTAGAATGGGGTAAATTATCTCACATAAAAAAGGCAAGAAAAAGCTTTTACAGTGGAGGGGAAGAAGTAGGAGGTGAGGGGGAGTGAGTGACCTTACTCTCATCATAATTGGCTCTAGTTATTAGTGCAAAAGAAATCTATCTTGCCCTACAGGAAAGTAGTGGGGAAGGATAAGAAAAAGGGAGTGATAGAACAGAGGGCAGATTGGGGAAGGGGGTAGTCAGAAGCAAAAATCCATGCAAATATAATGCTAAATAAATAGGGAATAATTAGCAGAGAGAAAGCACTAGATTTAAAAAGGATTGGGAAAGTCTTCTTGTAAAAAAAATGGGATTTTAGTTGGGACTTAAAGAAAGCCATTCAAGCTAGTAGGTTGAGATGAGGAGGGAGAAGCATTCCAGGCTTGAGGGATAGCCAGAGAAAATGGCTACAGAAAATAGATGGAGCATCTTGTCTGAAGAACAGCAAGGAGTCTAGTGTCACTGGATTGAAGAGTATGCATTGGGTGGGGGGTAAGGTATAAGAAGGCTAGAAAGTTAGGAGAGGACTATCTTATAAAGAGCTTTGAAAGCCAAGCAGAGGATTTTGTGTTGACTTTGGAAGCAATAGTCACTGGAATTTATTGAGTAAGTGGGTGATGTAGTTGGACCTCAACTTTAGTGACTGAATGGAGATTGGATTGGAGTGGGGCCAGACTTGGCACAGGCAGTTACCCACCAGCAGGTCATTGCAGTAGTTCAGGTATGAGGTGATGAGAGCCTGCATCAGGGTGGTAGCAGTGTCTAAGGAGAGAAGGGATCATATTCAAGAGATGTTGCAAAGGTGAAATTGATGGGCCTCAGCAATACATTGAAGTTTAGCGGGGAGATGGTGAGTTATGGTAAGGAGTCAAGGGTGACTTCTAGGTTGTGAACCTGAGGGACTGGAAAGATGGTGATGCCTTCAATAGCAATAGGTGTGGGAGTGGGATGGAGGAAGGGTTTAGGGAAAAAGGATAATGAGTTTCATCTTGGACATGTTGAATTTAAAATGTCTACTGGACATACATTTGAAGATGTCTGAAAGGCAGTTGGAGATGCTAGATTGGAGATGAGCAGAGAGGCTGGGGCAAGATAGTTAGATTTGAGAATCATTAGCATAGAGATGCTAATTAAATCCATGGGAGCCAATGAGATCACCAAATGAAGCAGTATAGAGGTAAAAGAGAAAATGGTTCAGGATAGAATCTTGTGAGATACCCACAGTTGGAGGAGGTGACCTGGACAAGGATCCAGCAAAGGAGACTGAAAAGGGACAGTCAGATAGATAGGAGAAGAATTAGGAGAGAGTAGTTTCCCATGGTGGTATATCTTTGTATCCCTCCCTAGCACATAACACAATGTCATGTACCTAATATGTGTTTAATAAATATTTCTTCAATGAATGAAATTGTCAAAATTAGAGGAGGAAGTATGGTTTTGATTTTGAGCTTCACTGATACCATGCCAACCATGATATCAATCAGCCCATCAGTTTCCATGGAAATAGCCTTAAATAGCTTCTATTTCTTCATGACTAAGTTCAAATCTGCAGGATAAGTTGCTGTTCACTCTGGTGCTTTCTTTTTTGTCTTTTTGCAACATTAACTCTCACTCCTTACTTCCTTTCATATTCACAATTCAGAAATACAATATCATAAAGAACTGGTTAGTCACATGACTTCATTCTACATCCCATCTAAACTCGATCATTAGCTATTCAGCCTCAATAATAAGATATCCTATAAATTGGGATAAAACTAGTTGGTCAATTGTCTATATTTTCCGTTTCCTTTGTTGGTCCAATGCAAATGGATCATATCATAGGGTTTAAAGCTGAGGGCTTCATCTTCAAAGAGAGGATGACTAATAACACCAGGCCAAAGGTCGAGGGGACACACAGTTCCTATGGTTACTCCTGATGGGAATAACTAGTATGAGGACTGTGAGTTCTTAAACAACCACTTTGTACAGGCCCCCTACCTGTGGTTAGTATTTGTATTGTGCTTTAAAATTTGCAAAGTGCTTAATATTTCTCATCCCATTTGGTACTCATAGCAACCCTGTGAGGTAGATGCTATTATTGCCCCCATTTTATAGATGAAGAACTTGCTTAGGGTCACACAGCTTGTCAGTGTCTGAGGAAGAATGTGAATTCAGATCATCTTAACTCTGAGTCCAGTACTCTATCCACTGCCTATCTGTGTCCTTCTGTCTTTTGAACCTAGGAATCTGGATACTTATTGTATTCACTTTACTGTACTGACTCTTTAACAACCACCACCACCATCATTTTTTCCTGACCTCAAACTTAAATTGATCTTTTTCAATGCCTACTTGCTGCTCCTAGTTCTACTCTCTGGGACCAAACAGAAGAAACCTAAGTCCATTTCACATGCCAGCCCTTCAAACACTGCAGTTTTGTGATCCCCTGGCTCACACAAGCTGATTGGATATGCACGTGTTTGCCTCTGCCAAGTGCCCCTTCAGCAACTCTGTATAGTCACAACTTCTGCCAAGTCTCTCACTGGGGAAGTCCATGATCAGGTCTCTGGTTTTTGACTTCTCCGAAAAAGAAACAGGCAGGTAAAGCATGACCAGGAACTTGATGTCTGGAAACTGAAATCTCAGGTTACTTAGGGCAAGCACATGCCATAAACTAGGTGAAGGTGTATGTTTAGGGGATAAATTGGGAAGAAAGAGGAAGAGAGAGAGAGAGAAAGACAGAGAAAGACAGAGAGAGACAGAGAGAGATAGAGAGACAGAGACACAGAGAGAGACAGACAGAGAGAGGGAGACAGAAAAGATAGACAGACAGAGACAGAGAGAGACAGACAGAGACAGAGACACACACACACACACATACACACACACAGGGAGAGAGAGAGAGAGAGAGAGAGAGAGAGAGAGAGAGAGAGAGAGAAGAGAAGATTCCTTCCATGCCCTTTCCTGTACTCTAAAAGACAAAATGAAGGAAGAAACAGAGGCAGAAAGACAGAGAGATCTGGATAACTAGTATCTTAGCTTACTTTTATAGATCATGATAAAGGGTCAAATTTTTCTGATAAGAGTCAATCGTCCTGAGTCCAAGGCAGCTAATTAGTAGGAATTACATCTGTCTTCCCTTCAAAGTGCCAGTGGTTATGCATATACTATCGATATAGAGATGCCCCTTAACTGCCTTCAAACAAAGGCTCCATACTCTGCGGATCTTGTCAAGTTAAATGGGAGAAACATCAAATTCATCAATGACTTCTCTGATCAGTCCTTTTAACACTCTCCTCCCATTTGCATCATTAGCATGAATTCAAGATGCCATTCAGCAATGCAAATGAATGGGCACATTTCCTTAGCATTAATTCAAAGTGCAAGAAAAAACATTATGGATAAACTGCATACGTGTTAATGATGTAAAATTAAAACATAATAAAATCTGGTGCAATATGACATAGACACTTCTACAGCTTAATATTAGAAATGAGCATAAATGCAAGCTGTCACAAAATCTAGAAGTTCAGATTAGAAAGGGATTTTCAGCAGCAAAAAAACCAAAACAAAACAAAACAGAAAAATTCTCAACAACAAAAAAAAAATTCACAAAATTTTTAATCAGAATAAAATTCTGGGGAAATCTGCAGAATTCCAGGAAAATCTATAAGGTTCATTTAAGCTGCTTTGAAAAAAAAGAAAAAAAGTCTATGTACATAATTCCATCCTAACTAAAGCCTTCACATTTATTTGCCACAGGCAAAAGAGAACCCTCTTGAAGCTTGGTTCACTAGATGAGGAGGAAGAAACATTGGAGGAATCCTGGACCTGGGACTCACAGCATGAAAGTAGCTGGATAGTGAGAGAAATGATTATTTCTCTCTCATATTAATAGCCAATTATTAAGATTAAGATTTTTCTTAATATTTCCACATTCAGAAATAAACCCCTGTAGGTAATTCAGCCAGTCTTTGTAAAGGATATTTCTAACAGATAAGATTGCCCAAATCCTCTGGGTATGTGCTTCTTGCCTCATCCAACTAGAAAACCTTACAAGATGAATCACATCTATGCAGAATTCTCAACCCACCATCGTTCATTGTTCACTGACTGGGTGGAGGATAGATCATTTTGTATAGGGTGCCTGAGGTGAGAGTATTCTGGTTTGACATGAGTCCTTCATACTCAGCCCCTCATTAAAATAGGCCCAGCTCTCATTACAATGTCAACCTGAGTTGATTCCTGCCTATTGGGAACACCCACTCTTCCGAGGGTATATAAGCATCAAAAGGCCTCCACGAGGGGGGTCTTTGGTTTGTGAGACAAAGCCAAATGACTCTCCTTTTATTGATTATTCACTAGCCATAATTAATAAAATTATTAATTACCTAGAAACTAAGAAACTTTTTATATATCACAAGAGGCATTTCTTCCAAGGTTGACAGTATTGTCCTAGTAGGGACCTCACAAAGCAGAGTGGATTTGGCAGCAAATTGAGCCACACCATAGTCAGTTCTGGCTGCCCTTCCTCTCTGATCCTGACCCTGTGGGTGAGACACTCTGACTCAGATTCCCCTCCATTCCTCAGCTTCCTGTGACTTCCTTGTTCTCCCAGCCCACCAGGCTCTCATTGAAACAAGGTATAGAAATAGCTACAGAATGAGATAATGCTGCAGATCGGAGAAAGCCCTTCTCTATGCTAGACTAGCTACTAAGTGCTTCAAGAAATGGGTGAGCACCACATCTTACTTTGTGTTCTCAATACTTAGCTTAATGCCTTGTGCTCAGCACAGCTTAATAAATATTTGTTGAAATGAAATTAAGTGGTCCTGGGCAGACAAAGAGGCAGCCTGGAACATTGGGAAAAAAAATTACATCTTTGAAGTCAAAGGAGCTGGGTTTAAAGTCAAAAGAGCCTCAGTCACATATACCTATGTGATTTTGTGCACATTAATTATCTTTTCTGTACCTCAGTTTATTCATCTGAAAAATTAGGGGATTGGATAAGATGCTTCTATTGTCCCTTCCAGTTCTAAATCTCATCCTTTAACTTCCTAGGTAACACCATTTACCTTCTTTCCCACCCCTTCTCCCCTGTCATTTAGCAGTACGTAATACATGCTGTTGCTGATTTCATTATCTCTTTTACCTGTTTGGTGAAGAATGAAATGACAAAGAAGAAAAAAAAGATTGGTAATTTAAAGGATTTTTTTTTGCAAGTCTATTTATTCAGCTTGTGAGGGACCTTGATCTATAAGTATAACTCATCAACTACATTGGTTCTTTGCATCAGTTACTTGTAATTACTGTAGTAGGGGAGGAGGGAGAGGTCAAACTTCTGAACAGTCTCAGGTGGGATGAAAGTAACAACTGATTGAAACAGTTATAACAGTTGTGAGGAATTAGACAAACCAATCATACAGAGGAGTATTTGATACCTTATTTCTAATGTCATCAGACAGTCTCCATCAAACTAATATTTCCTGCAGAGGAACAAAATTATCTGATATTTGAATGGAAGGCAGTGTTACTGAAATGATACTTTCATGCATCTCCTGTGAAAACATTTGTTAGTGGAAGTTCATTTTACTATTTGTAAAACAAATGCATCTGGGTAATTAATTGCACAAATGTTTTCTCCGTTTCCTTTCAAACTGCCACCAGATGGCAATATTTCAGAAGAGTTTTAGGTCTGGAGAGGGAATTACTTTGCAAGCAGATAATTCATAAGCACTGTTGCTTAAGAAATGTGGCTAGTATATTGCATAGGATAATAAATACTTAGAACTTAGAGTACAATCAGAGCTTGATATATGTGTATATGCATATAAGCATGCATATATTTTTATACATACATACATACACACATATATGATGTACAGGTAAGAATGGCAGCGTTGGGAATGCTTTCCTGGTTCAGTGCATTATTCATTTGGACTTTAAAAAAATCTCCAAGGGAAGACAATTGAAACTGTGAAATTTTTGATATGTAATGATCATAAACAATAGATAAAACATCAATTTCTGCTTTCCTTCTGATCTTGCTGTGGATTAATACGGGTGGATCCTGGTAAATATTCAACACCTGGTATACACACACATGTATGTGTATACATACATACATACATACATACATACATACATACATACATACATATATATATATATATACACATATACACATATATAGGGTATACTTTTGAGTCTAATGTTAATAACATTTCTCCATTACTTTCTTAAGTTTAGAAAAATCAACAAAATAACAAGTTAAGCCTTGTTTGTAGGGTTTGACAACTTTTGAGAAGTAAAAGCTCGTAATAAAATTTCTAGCTGGCTCCAGCACAGCATTCTTTGAAGTATTTGAAGTTGTGATAAAAAGTGACTAAACTGTCTGTACCTTTTGACTCAGAGATCTCATTTTTAGGCATATATTCCCAAGGAGGTAGTAATTAGAATGAAATGTAGCATATACACTAAAATATTCATAGCAGCAATTTTTGTGGGACCAAAGAATTGGAAACAGACTAGATGGCTATCAGTTTAGAAAGTCCAAAGAAGTGATAGTACTTGAATATAATGGAATGTTGTTGTGCTTCAAGAAATGACAAGCATGATGAATACAAAGAAGCATAGAAAGACTTAAATGAACTGAGAGAAGTGAAGTAAGAAGAACCAGAACAATATATACAATGACCACAACAACGTAAACCAAAAGAACAATAAAAAAGGAAAGTCAACATTGAATAAGGATAATGACTAATTTTGACCTTGGAGAAGAGTTGAGAGAGTGCATCTCTCACCCTTTGTTACATAGGTGGCAGGCGTGGAATATTACATATATTGGTAGACACAGCTGATGTACACCGCCTGATGTTTGTTGGTTTTTCTGAACTGCCTTTTTTCTCCCTTTCTTTTAAAGTCTTTGTTGCAAGGAATGGTTCCCTTCTGAGTCAGAGAAAAAGGACATGTTTAGAAATCAACGTAAGATTTGTAAAGAATCAATAAGAAGAAAAAAGATTAAAAAGAGAGAAAATATCAGAGTGCTAGCATCCAAAAGACAGTTCCAAGACCCTGCAAGACGAAATGGTAAGAAATGTAATTTTGAGAGATAAATGTTGAAATGACAGGCAGCATGACATAGTGAATAGAGAATTGGCTTTGGGAGTGGGAAGATCTGAGTCCAAGTCTCCCATCTGACATATTCAATTCAATAAATATTAAGTGCCCATTATATACCAGGCACTATGTTAGTGCTATATGACTCAGGGGGAAATCACATAACCTCTCAGTGTTCTGTGCAACTTTCAATGAGTAAACATTGCAGTGAAGGTAACTTACCTGCCCTGATAGGGGAAGTTTGCTCACCTGGGAATTCTCCATACCAAAGTCACAAGTTCAGCCCTAAAAGCTGAAACATTTTCCAAATAACAGGGTACAGCAGTAAGCAGAGAGGCTCTGAAATCAAAGGAATTGGGTTCACATCCTATCTCTGAGGTGGCAAGCAGGTGTTGGGATTGTTACCAATTGATTATTCTGCTCAGCTATGAGTATTTTAAAATTATTCTACTGTGCGTACTTTTCACAAGTGTCCTCTCCCTGATGATGTCCCTCAGGAGAGTTGACTATAGATAATTCCATATGAAGAGGGAATTGGAGAATTATTACTTTGAGTATGCTTTATTTCTTTTTTTTAATGTTTTTAAACTTTTAAAAAATTTGACTTTATAAAAGGCTAAACTTGACAAAAATCATTGAACACACTCATTTCCATGTACAAAGAAGAGAAGTAGGATTTATATGAAACCATGAATCTGTATTAGGTACAGCATATTTTTTAAAGTACATATGAAATTTAACACTGTAGTACCAACACTGCATTGCTTGTCTGTATCCCTTTCTGAACTTTCTTCTGAATGCTTTATTCCAATTTTGAGAGTCAATTTGGATATCACAGTTACAGATACAAACTGAACAGCTTAATTATATTGGGTGCCCCATACCTAATCAGAGATGAGTCATTTGGTTGTCAAAATACAAGCCTTCTATATCCTAGTTTCTTTTTCTTCTCATCTCTTCTCATCTCTTCTCTTCTCTTCTCTTCTTCTCTTCTCTCTTCTCTTCTCTTCTCTTCTCTTCTCTTCTCTTCTCTTCTCTTCTCTTCTCTTCTCTTCTCTTCTCTTCTCTTCTTTTCCTTCCTTCCTTCCTTCCTTCCTTCCTTCCTTCCTTCCTTCCTTCCTTCCTTCCTTCCTTCCTTCCTTCCTTCCTTCCTTCCTTCCTTCCTTCCTTCCTTCCTTCCTTCCTTCCTTCCTCTCTTTTTGATCTGACAGCTTTTAAAAAATTATTTGGAGTGGGAAGGAAGCAGTCCTGTGATTTCATTGATAGCTGTAGATTGGCACCAGCTCTGAAACTTAAAGTCTTAGAGCAAGGATTCATAACCTGGAGTCTGTGAATTTTTTTTAAAAATAAAATTTTAAAATGTCTTAAAATATTTTAATAAGTATGTTTCAATATAACTGATTTACTTTGTAATAATAGGTATTTCATTATATTCATTTAAAAGCATGATTCTGAGGAGTCCTTAAGGAGTCAATGGCACAGATAAGGTTAAGTTCCCCTGTCTTAGAGAGTTGCCTAGAGGTCTGAGCAGTTAAATGACTTTTCCAGGATTACAGAGCCAATATACGTCAGAAACAGGACTTTGCTATGCTATGGCCAACTCTATCTGATGGAATGTAGTCAAACTATGGAGCTATTTGTTAATTACCTTCTTTTGCTAGTTTTGAACCTGAAAAATGTTGCTGAGAAAATGCAACATTTTGTGTGAGATGCCTCAGAAAAGCATAACAAATTGTTCCATTTTTTGTGGGAATATCCTTTATTGTTATTATTGTTCCTAAGATATTTTTGAGC